ATTTACATAAGATTTAAACAAATGTTCATTGAGCTCTCATAGCTCTGTCAGCAATATCCCTCAGTGGTTTGGAAAAGTCAAAAGCCAGCAGTTTGCTCAACCCCAAGCCAACTCCTATAACAGTGAAAGTTTCACACATGTGGAAGCGCAGCATTTTCCAGCATGGAACCTCCTGACATTTCCAAAATAGTTTCAGAAGTGTTCCCAAACACAAGCTGCAGCAAAGGGCGTGGATCAATGCATAAAATGTGTCAGTCTGTATTGAAACAGTTTTTATATTTTTACTGACCATGCAGGGTTTTCATGCTGCAGCAGCCATATTGTTGTCATCTGTGTCTTTTATGGAAATGTATGTTTATGCAACTTACAGTAGAAAATAGAAAACTGAGTTTAGTCATCTGTGTAAGACAAATACACACACAGTGAGACTAAAGACTCAAGTCTGACCTTTTTGTTATTGATTTGACAGGAAGTAGTTGAGACAGCCAGGCTGTGAGGAGGGCCCTCTTTATTGTTTGAGAATTCAGAAAAAAAAAAGACTAAAACAATAACAAATACAGCCAACACAAAGCACCAAAGCTCTAAAGGCACTCTGTCCAGCTATGGTCAGGAAGAGGGTCATGAGATAACAGGATAGGCTCTGGAGGTGTGCCACGATCACACTGGAAATCACTCTTTTAAAYKGGAATACAACTTTTGCAAGACAATGAGCCGACTCAAGTAAATGTCTGAATGTACTAGGAGAATGTTCAAATGTGATACTTTAGCTCTGACACAGTTAATTTAGGGGAAAATGTARTTATTCTTCACTTACCTGCAAAGCCTCACTTTATTTTTAATCTGGACTTTAAACTGAGTTAGGCCACTCAATGCTGCTCAAAGCATGTGAAAACCAAAAGTTGCAAAGACACACAGCCTGCATTTAACAAATTCCCAGCTCACCACTTATCCACACGGGCGGTTCCAYTCCACTTGAAAGTTCTKTGCAGTATCTTAGCCSTTCCTTGGTCTCTGTTCCTGGGATCCGTTGAAGCAACTCTCCCAGTTTGGGAGTTACAGACACAACTGCTTCAGTGACCACAGACACTACTGAGGTCTGGACTTTTCACAACTTAGATGTGTCAATGCAGAGGAGTGTTTTTGCCAGTGAGATGAAAGAAACAGCATTTATAATGTGGAACTTTCAGGATAAATTTGTGAGTGTAAAAGAAAAGGATATCTTCCTAGTGGAAGATGGTATGACCAGTATCAATTTCAACAAATAGCTTTTAGCTAAGCTGAAGCAGTATWTTWAAAGCWTTGTAGCTCATCACATGYTATTTAGGTGTATTTTTAGAAAGTTCAAATAGCAGAAGTGTCTTCTTACAACATTTCTTTTCTTTCAGTTTAATTTAAAAGATTTAGTTGTGTTTTACTGCAACACTCATTACCTAATACTGTATAGCTCACTCCACAGAGTGAATCTAGAGCTCAATTGCAAAAGGTTAGAGAGAACACTGTTATTAAAGACACGACACAGAAATACATGATGCAGTTTTAGGAGGAAGTATTCAGTCCGAGTAAATTAGGACTCTGGTGCATCTTTTTACAGAACAGAAACACACTCTTTTTTTAGAAAAAAAGTTTTGAGAAGAAGGCGCAAAAAGAAAAGCACCTGTTTGAGATGTGTGTTTGTAAAAGCTTTTGCAGAGAAAAGTAACAGATCATTTTTTCTGTATTATCATCTGTATCTTATTTCTGTTTTTMMRTTTGTTCTTACTCAAAGGAAAGACTCATCTTTAAAATCTTCGATTATTTCCTGAATCTAAAACAGGGGTGCCCAAACAGTCACTCGTGGGCGATTGGTCGCCCGCCAGCTGATTCCCAGGTGCCCGCGCAGCACAACCTTACTGCAGAGCCTCTAGCGCCGGCTTTGAGCATCGCATCTCAGAGTGGATAGTCTTGTTTGAAAGCTCTGGTTCTGCCCTATAAGGTGAAATTTGAATGAAGTCTTTGCGACATTCCTCCGCAGAGCAATAAGCAAAAAACCTCCAAAATATGCACCATCGSACCTCCCGCCGGGGCGGTTTTAGCGATATAGTACTCAATTTACTCTGGAGCCTCTACCGCCAGCTCTGAGTGTCGGATCGGGGCGGGAGCGGCTCGTATTAAAGTTCCGGATCTCCGCCACAACGTCGAGGTGGTTGAAGTCCCTGTAACGTTCCCCCGCGGAGATATAAGCGATCAAAAATCGTTGGGTGAGCTCCGGCAGGTGAAACGGCTGATTTCCAGCACAGGGCTGCTTGTGCTGATGCAGGGGAATAAAAGGAAGAGATCCAATGAGGTGGAACCGTGATCCTACGTCCAGCACCCGCTCTCCCGCCTGGATTCAGCCAGAAACCCCTGGCAGGCGACATTTCTGCAAAAATGCTTAAAATTCAGAAACCCACCTGATGGATCACTTCCAGACAATAAAAGRAACAGATCTGATCAGGTGAAACCGGTCCTGGAAGCTCAGCACCGGGTTTTATAGCGAATATATAGCGAGACAATTTTATATTTTGTGTGCTTTGACTTTGAAAAAAGTGCGGCACTCTTGTGGTAGCCATGTTGACCCTGATAGTTTTTTTTGTTTTGTTTTGTTTTGTTT